TGCTTTAAATCCCCAGCGATGCCCCCAGCATCGTGGTATTGCCCACACGGGGAGCTGCACGTGTCTTTGGAGGCCACACCAACGTCTGATGGCATTTCAGGTACCGTGAACTCAGCAGGTCTTCTTTCCCTGTAGCTCCCATCTTCAAATTCTTTATTAATGCACAAGAAGAACCCCCCCCCCCATCCACACCTGAGCACCCTAATCCATGGGAGGGTTTTTTTAAGAGCTTTTGCCTATGCACCTTGTTACAATTTAAAAAATAGAAAGAAAAGGAGGGTTTTGCTGTCAAGTCTACTGACTGACTGCTGTGGGGGCTCCAGAAGAGTGGCTCTGCCGAGGAAATCTGCAGAGCTCTACATCAAACGCGAGTGCACAGACTTCCTCTATTTTTAGGTTCAGGACAAATGGTATCGGAAGAAGGTAAAACCCATTAAAATATTTGAATGAGCATTATGTATGTTATATTGACTCTGTTGAGCTCTACAAGCTACAACCAGGAGACATCCATGCATCGCATTCTGCTGTATTTACACGTTTATATTAATAATTTTATTTTTTTTTTTGTTATAAAAGCACACAAACAGCATTGCCAACAACATAATAAGTAATATCTAGTTTGTAACCTGTAAAACACTTGCTGCTGTGGCCTGGGAGATGAAGTGTGCCTCTGCTGGCAGTTGAAGAAACACCAGCATTTTCCCAGAGTAATCTTCAGAGACTGGGAATGATATATCAGAGGCACAGGCGCAGACACAAAATAAATAAAAAAAAAAATAAAATTGACTGCCTTGCCCGGGCCTTCATTACCAGCCAGGATACAAATCCTAGCAAGTAACTTTCCCTCACAGGCAAGCATCCCTCAATAGCTTAAAAAAAAAAAAAAAAAAGGAAAAAGAAAGAAGAAAGGCTGCCATTTTAAGCCGGAATGACTCTGACTTTCCACTGCACATCCCTCAGGCAATAAAGTAATTTGCAATATGTTTCAATCAGATATTGGAAACAGTGCTTGCTTAAATCGTCTGGGCTTTGCTGGCATTTTAAATACGCGTTGGCCTCGGCTGTCTGGTTTAGCATCATCCCCCAGCTGGGAGGGTGCGAGTCCCTCCTCCCGCATCACCCAGTCCATCACGGGCTGTGGTGTGGTCCCCTTCCCCCCCATAGCCTCAGCCCCCCGATGCAATGGTGTTACCTGACCTCATTTGTCATTTACTGCTCTTGTTTTCCATAGTGCAAATCCCAACCCAAGAGTATTTAAGGGTTACTCCCTCTCTGTAGCTGACACAGATTGTTGTTAGAATCACATTCCTATTGGGTGAATCTAATCAAAAGTGGCCACGAATGCAACAGAAACAGAGGCATCAGTTTCTCTTATTTATTCCTGTTGCTAGAGTTGGGAGAGAGAAACAAATTAATTTGCTTAGGCTGTAATGCAAATTGGAGACTCCAAATCACAAGGTAAATCCTCTGCTTAAGGCCACACAGTCAAAGTAAATTCACTCAATAGTGTGTTTTCTCCTTAACAAATCTTCCAATAAAGACCACGATATGATCTGCACCGTGGAGAGCAGCAGGTTTAAAACAAACAAGCATCCTTGCTGTCATTTCTCTGAATAGCTTGGGAGCCTTTTTTTTTCCATTTTATAATCTTTAAGACATGAATGTACTTAGGCTAAAAAAATTCATTAAACATTAATATAAAGCCCGTTTCAACTTCAGACTGTTTGCTTCCCAAAGATAATTGTTTAAGAGAATGAACTGTACTCCCTTTGAGACTTTTCCATATATTTTTCAAAAACTAATACTAGAATTATGAAAGATAGGAATAAGTACAGCAAAGTAAATTAAATCAAATTGCAAAAGCCCTGGGGAAGAGCTAATGCAAATGAATTAAACACATATAAGTTCCAAACAGCTACAGAGTAAGTTTCCGTCTCAGCCTCATTACTCTCAGAAGTTGCCTGAGCCACTAGCACCTTTGCTAGCTGTTATTTTAAGAACAAAAACCAGAAAAATAAACCGTTAGCTCTGGCTAGTATCATATATTGTAGTTTTTATTATCTCTTTCCTTTTCCATTAAAGTTATTACCTGCAAAAGTGTAACTCTGAAATGAGCAACCAAAGTTAATTTTCTTTTTCTGTCACTGGGTATCATCTGTTTGTGGATAGATGGAAATTCTGTATTTTAAAGACTATTTTGACCTTAAAGGCAGGAAAACTTTATTTAAAAGCTATTTATAAGGCTGAAGTATCTTATAAGTAAATAAACCAAGGGAAAAAGAAAAAAAGGGACTGAATACCAATATATGCTAAAAGTCTTTAAAGCAGAGCTGCCTTGGAGAGGGGAACAGAGAATTATTGTTCACTGAATTCAGTGCAGCGAAGGGAAACAACCAAACAAACAAAAGAACAGGACATTATTACAAACTGTAGACAAGTTTTGGATGGGCTTATAAGTAATTGGAGAAAATGACAGCAAAATCATCCATTAAAGGTTCCTGTCCCAAACCTCCCCAGTGCTCTCCCTCGCCCCCAGGCACTCAGGACCAGTAGAGGATGCTGGGCCAGGAGGGTCTTTGGTCAGATGCTGTTTGACTATCCTCACCTTGTGTTATTTTATAGGCTAATCTGTGTCCAGCTCACAGTTGATGAAAATTTTATACGGATTTAAAAGCATATTATGGTGCTGGCTGCGAGGGTAAAGGCAATAGGGCTGAAGAGGTTACAGATATGGAATTATCACGGCTGATATGGAAGGAAAGCCTGGAGAGCTTACTTCTCAGGGTGGAGAAAAGACTGGAAAATAGTAAAAGTTAGTAAATCTGATTAGTAATTTCTCTGATATCCATTATATATCGTGATTTAAAAGGTATTTGGAAAGTATGAACAATTGTAATAATGCAGGGTGGTTAGAGGAAAATACAAGAAAGGCAGATCAGGCTTGACCAGCTAAACAGCTCTCCCTGAGAAGAAAGCTGAGATCTGGCACATTTTCTTTCCCAAGAATAGCTCTTATCTTTAAGCCAATAATTCCCTGCAAAGCTACTGCTTTGGGAAACTATTAGTGAAGCAGAATAAGGTGGGAAAATTGTACAGTGAGGGCAGATGAAGACACTATTGGGTTGTGTTGAAAGGGCAAACATCAGGCTGGGGAGGGAGACTGGTGGAATTTCTTACAAATTTATCTTCTTTTGTATTTTTTTCATTCTGTACCTGGGCACAAAGAACAGTCACGCTGTGATGCAATTTTCTGATGACACAAAATTGGGGGATATTATCGATAGGAAGAAGGCGGCTCGTGGCATTGAGAATTTAGGGTTTCTGGTCTTTTATTTGCAGTTATCCGTGGCTGCAGTGCAATCTAGCTACCAGTTCAGGATCTGGCTTCAAAATTATAGAAAGCCAGTGATATTTAATCTACGAAGAGGAAAGGTCAGGCTGGATCAATAGGGGTTTGAATTGGTAGTTTCCACATCATCTCTTCTTCATCAGTCATTTTCTGAAGAATCTCAACTGGGGGGAATTGTTCTCAGAGTTAATATCTGCTGTTTCATCATCCTGGACCATCGAGCCCTGTATCCCATCTCTGACATTCAACATCACTTCTGCCTCTGCTCACCTTCCTGCCAAGTCGTGGTAGTCTTCTCCTAGTAATGCCCAGCTTGGATCATCTGACAGTCTCCAAAATTTACCTTAATTTCAAGTACTCTGTGCTTAGCTGGATGCTCGTCCAAGCAAGAGATGCTGAGCAGGAGTACATGTGTGAGTACAGTTCCTAATTTACAGGAGCTGAGGGAATCTCTTTACAGCTTCCATTATGCAGGGGATTAAATATCAAGAGTCTGAAGGTTATCGGTATCTGTGATGGAGATACCAATCAATGAAGAACCTGAGGAGAAGATGCTCTTGGAGAGATAATGGTAAACGAGAGATCCTTCTGAAAGGAGCCCAAGTGTGGACTCTGTGAAGCCCATTCTCTTGCAGAGCTCATCAAGGATTTTTTATTTTTATGTCTTATTTCTGTGAGACAGCTCTTTTAATACAGGCACAAAGATTTCATGCATCTTCCTGGCACAGGAGGCTTTCGGGATTTCCTCTTTCTCAAAGGCTAAAAAAAAACCAGCTGTGTTTTTTAAAGAGCCAGAATGTCTTGTCACTCACTGTTTTTGCATCCAGTTGCAAACACATGCACATTTACCTGATCTAAATAGCTGTGCTGACAGGAGCTGAGTGCCAACATTATTCCATCCGGGTTGCCCTAATTCTTCCGCAATGTCTAAGTTATCAAAAGGCAGACGGGAAGATGAAGTTAGGTTTTTGCACACATTGTGTGTTGGCTATATTTTATTTATTTTGTATTTTGCTAGCATCAAAAGTGTGTCAGACTTTGCAGCTGCAAATCTAAATTATTTAAAATGCAGTTTAATTCAAGATATGGGAAGGCGGCCCGTTCTGTGCTTACTGGAATGTCTTAACTACCACCTGAGTGGATAGAAAAGATTAATATATGATTGTATTTTTGTTAAAGTCTGAAGGCAGCTGCTGGGGGTGGGGTGGTATCTGCATCCTGGCTTATATAGGGAACAGTGTGGCCAGCAGGACTGGTCCAGTGATCGTCCCCCTGTACGGGGCACTGGTGAGGCCCCACCTTGAGTGCTGTGTCCAGTTTTGGGCCCCTCACCACAAAAAAGACATTGAGGGGCTGGAGTGGGTCCAGAGAAGGGCAACGGAGCTGGTGAGGGGTCTGGAGCACAAGTCTTGTGAGGAGAGGCTGAGGGAGCTGGGGGTGGTGGTGCTTAGAGATATGGTTTACGGTGGCTTTTGTCTGTGTGCGTTGATGGTTGAACTCAATGACCTGAAAAGTCCCTTCCAACCCAGACAATTTTATGATTCCCCTCTCATGGATGCTGCAATGCTCTGGCCTTTCAGTGGTGGCTGGTTAACTCTGTCCCTCACTCTAATTCCCTCACAAATCTCCTCTCCCTTCCTGTCTCCTGCAGACCCCCCTGCTGTGGAGCCCACCTTCCTGGAGATTCGGCAAGGCCAAGGCCGGAGCATCACCATGAGCTGCCGGGTTCTGAGGGCATACCCCACCCGGGTCCTCACCTACGAGTGGCGTTTGGGCAGCAAACTGCTGCGCACCGGCCAGTTTGACCTGCAGGACTCCACCGAGTATACCGTCAGCAGCCTCTCCCGTGACAGCTATGGCATCTACAACTGCAACATCATCAATGAAGCGGGCGCCGGGAGGTGCAGCTTCCTCGTGACAGGTAGGTTTGGCCATGTCTTGGTGCCCTGAGATGATAGACGTGTTGTTGGGTAACGCTACTCCTGCTTCAACCAACGAATCACCAAAGCCATGCATCCTTTGAAGTAGGATCATGGCTTAAGGCGTCTGGTTTGGGTTCTGGGCCGGTTGGTAACAAAAGAGGAGATTTAGCTTTTTTTTCTTAGTTTGAGGATAAAGATTTGTGCAAAATGTAAATATCCCTTCTCGGCAGGCATCTGTCAATGTGCTTTGGAGAGAGGTCTGAGAGAGTCATCAGGCAGCAAGTTGCTCCTATTTGAAGTTTGCAATAAGGCTTGAATTTCCTCTTCTCTTTCGGTATGCTCCGCCAGCTCAGAGACCGGGGCGGGCAGACCACTGTCTTCAAGCTGCCCGAGAACAAAGGGTTGTTGAAATTTGTTCCTTTTCTCAAAAGGCAAAGGACTTTGTGAAGTTCATGCACAAGATCAGAGACTCAGGGAGAATGTGCAGCCCCTGCCATGATCTACCCACGTTGTGGAATTAATGCACTGGTTTGAGACAAGCTTGAGATGTCTTTTGTCTTTCGTAGTTTGGTTCTGAATGTTAAGCTGGGTGTTTAGACATGCAAGTCTTGATTCTTCCTCTATTGGAAAATAGGTACTATGACTGGAAGACTCAGATGCCTGACCCTGGGCCTGCAGCAGATGTTGTGCCCAAGCTGGGGTCCTCCGGTTGTTGGAGCCACATCAGCTGTAGGTTCCCCATCCCTCTAGGTTGTTGACCAGGCCCCTTTTAGAATCAGTGGAGGGAAAAAAGCATCTCTATTAAGTGAACCATCTCCTTCCAAGGTCTGTGGTGGGTCAGGAACCCCCTGTTCCTCTGCACCAGCTAAGAGAGGTGTCCAATCACCCACCCTGTGTGGACTCTCTCTGGAGGTCAGCACAAGCAGCCCCAGCCTCCCTAAGGATGTCGGAGCAGTAGCCCCATTGTAGCTCAAAATCCCTCCCATCAGCTGCTTGAAAAAATGAGGGATGGGGAAAAAAAAACCCAACAAACAAGAAATTCAGAATATGTAAAAGAGAGTTGTCTTAGAAGGAGAGATCCCCCATTATAGTTGGGATTTTATTTCTGTTCAACCAACTTGGCTGCAGCTACAGACATACCTAAACAAGGTTTTCCTTTTGGGGTTGCTGGAAACTCCCTGAGCCCTGCCATTGTTTGGCAAAATGGCCAATATTATCAGCAGAAAGGGCACGAATTCCATGGCTGAGCTGCAGAGAACCTCTCAGGGATCCTGCTCTGCCCAACTCCTGGGTATCAGGGTAGACCCTCCACACACATCTCTCGTGGGAATAAAGGGAACAATTCAATCAGCTCCCGAGTCTTTTTCAGTAAAACATGGTTTTATAGGAAAAGATGTGGGCCCTGTTTTGTGTGGACACTTTCTTTTGTCTCTGTTGGACTCAGTTGAGCGGCATCTCGTTGGAAGGGGTTTCATTGGGCTGGGGTTGACCATTACAGAAGTGGTGGGAGCACGGGGAGCGCCCCAAGGACTGATGGCCCCGCTTCTTGCAAAATGTAATCAAGCCTGTGGCTGACTCATTATCCAGAGCCTGCGCGGAGGCAGTTTTCACAGCCACCGACTTCTCCAAATCTTGGGAGTTTAATCCAAAAGGTGGCTCTGAAGGAAACCAGAGAAACAGTCTTTTTCCTCAAATGAGTAAATGCAGTTCAATTTACTGTTCATCAGGCTTTGCACCCGAGACTGGGGAAACCTATTGGAAGGCAATTATTTTGCCGAGACTGGGGCAATCTGAGTGACTTTCTGTGATTTATTACCATGCCAAAGCAAGCCACATAACTGAAAATTAGTACTAAAATGGTTTTATGATATACTCCGTCTCGCATCCCTCCACGCGCCTTGTTCATTTCTAGTTTATGCATTATGCGAATTTTTGCTGTATATGGTTGGGCTGAGGATGCTGAAAGTAACGCTTGGACTTTCCTGCTCTCCTCAGTCTTGGAAGGTTAAAACTGATGTGTTTGGTGAATATATTCTTTGATACGTGGAGGTGCAGTTGCTCTCAGGAAAGAGCAGCAGCCGTGTTCTGGTCCCACCTCTCATCAGGACAGATGAAGTTAAAGCGCTGGGGGACTGAAAACACATAGAAGAAAAATGACAAAGTGGTTAAAAAGGAGGTTTACGTTTCACCAAAGGAGGTTTCATTTCAGCAAAGAAATGGGTCACTTCTTAGACACACGCAGGGAGAAAAAAAGCCATATAAATAACCCGGTGACAGGAACCTGGTGATAGTGGAGAGCTTTTCCTTTGGGTGGAATAACAGGAGTTGTTGTAGCCCATTTTTAGCTGGTTTTATTTCCAGGTTTTCATGTAGTAAGAGCGTGCTGCAGTGCTCACGTTGCAGGGGCTGCAGAGAAGCATTGGTATGCTGAGAGAAAGGGTTTCAGTACAGTATTAAAAGCAGCCTGGATGAAAAGATTTATACCAGCCCTAGAGTTTGCAAAAACCTGTTTTTACTGCATTTGTATTTTGAGCCAGATTTGAGAAGATGAAAGGAAAATAAATCGCATGTGGAAAAGGGGCTTGATTTATATCAGGTGGGCCAATCTGAGGCAGATTTAACCTGCTACTGTCTTAAAAATAAATAAGAACATACAAGCAAAATTGTGTTTGTGGGAAAGCAAAGTTGAGTTCATGCTGTTTGCAGCTTCGCTATCTATATATTTTATTCAGCGGTTGATGGTGCGCATCATATCTAAAGAGCAACAAAAAGAACATTTCAGGCAGTGTGTCCTTAAAACCCTGCCAGGGCTGGAAGCAAGTAGAAAAAAAATAAAAATATTAGATGCACAAAATGTCATGAATGGCACAGAAGGCTCCGTGCAGGTGGAGGAAGGATTTGGGTGCTGGAGAAGGACTGGGTGAGCATGGGGGAGGTCCCCTTTCCTGGAGAAGGTGATGCTCCTCGAGGGACAGACCCAGAGCCCACCCTGGGTCACATCCTGGATCCTGCCACCCTGGGACCTTTTACACAAGTACTTGGGTTTCTTCAAGGCAGGGGAGGTTGAACTCTGTATTTTCTAGGTTCCCAATGTGCAAGAGATGGATCAAGCAGGCCTTGCTGTCAGGAGGGCTGGTGCTACGTCGGGGGTTGTTTAGCAGAATTATGTGAACCTGGGGAGCTATTTAGGGTTCAAGATCACTCGTAATTGAGGTACCCGACAAGTCTTGGCATAACACTTTATTTTCGGTGGCTTGTAACTTGGGCAAGCTTTAACTGCTTGCTCTGGAATTTGCTGTGCTGGTGGCTGCCTCGGGGTGAATCACTCATGAAAATTGCCGTCCAAAGAGGTCTTTTTTAAATAAAGGAAACAATATTTTGTTTCATCCACGTTATATTCTTCAGCTGTTTAATTAGCATGTTTAAAAGGGCCAGATAGACCCATTTGCATGAGTCCTTCCTTAAGTTACACCATAAAATCTCTCCATCCATAGTTTATGGTTCTGGCTTGACAATGCTATATATAATTTGTGAGATACTATCTAAATTAGTATTCATAACACGGGGTAGTACTAAACAAAGCTGCTAATGACATTGTGTTGATGTAGTTACTAACTAACTTCTGATCCTACCTCTGAGCAGAGATGGTTTTGAATATTGGGTTTGAGTTGTTCCGTTTTGTGGAATTTTTTCCACCATACAATATTGCATTAATTAACGAGCCAATCTTTCATTATTTACTCATCCAGACTTGCGTCACACATTCAGCGCTTCCGGCTAAGAGCAACGTCGAGCCAATCAGCTGCTAATTATGTAGGTTATAATTGGTAGCTACCAGCGTGACCACAGCTTTGCCTTTCTTTGGAGCTTCACTGGCGGTACTGGATTAAAGCCAGAGCTGGGGATGCTGCGGTGTGTGCAGCATCGAGCTGAAATCATGTCAGAATCCCCATCCATCACCAAGCTTTTGTGAAAAACGGGATGCTTTTGCCACAAGAGCATCATCTTAAAATAAATTGTCGGCACTTGAAATTGCTGAGTATCGGGTCCTTCTCCACGGCCCCATTAGTTGAATTAAACAGTTTTCTGCTGTTGAAAGTTTTATAGCTTCGTTAATCCTTTTTTATTAGGGAAGGCCTTTTGCACTGAACTGGGGGACAGAAGTGTATACTGTTTGTAGCTTCCTATTTAATTTTTTTTCTTAGAAACTCTGTGGCATCCATGTAAAGCAACAAGCAAAAATCCCATTTTGAAAGCACTTGTTTGGAAGCAGATTCGTTGTACCCTTTTCACCTGCACAATCCCAAAAAGGCAGGATTTTGCCAGTGAACTATTTTCACTTTATGGCAGGGTTTTTTTGTCAGTGTGAGGGCAGTTTCCCAAGCAAGTAACTCAGTGCAATTTTCACTGGTTGGATGACTCATAGCAGTTCTGTTCCTCACTGCGTGGTTGCCCATCATGGAGCCGTAGACCAGCACCGGGACTGGTGGAGGGACAAGAGGGAACTGTGTGCTTTTTACAAATGCTTCGAATTTAGGAGTTTTCCTCTCCATTTTCCAGGAACCTGTTGTGACACCAGAGTCATTGAGACCGGGTCGTCCCTAGCAGTGTCTAAGGGACACTGGATGATGCTGAACCCTTGCTCGCAATAGTTGGGTACTTTTTCCCAAATCCATTTGTTCCTCCTTGTGGCTCAAGCTGATACTGTGGGCAGTTGTTTTGGGTTATCTGGGTGAGTTTGGTGCCTTCATTCACCAGCCAGGATTTTGATGCTAGTTCTCAGTTGAGTACGATGACACGGACACACCCGCCAAGCTCATTGCCAAGCGTGGAAGTGGAAACATAGGGATCAAGAATAATCTACCTCCTTAAAATATTTCAGGAGAATAATCTTCCTAAACTAATGAAAGATTAACCGGTGAGTTGAAAACAATAGTTCGCTTTTAATCTCACTGAGATGTAAGCCAGAAGAGTCTATAGGAATATTTTCATTACTTTG